AGAGAGAGAGAGAGATCTACACTACATAAGAACAAGCATTCAATGCGAGGTATCAATATATATATGTTTATTCCGATATAACTTAAATGCATAATTGACTGTCCAACTGTTACTTAATGGCCGAAGGATGACCTCCTTCTCCATCAATGTCGGTCAACGAAGTCCTTTATAGCTAAAATAAGCTCCTGCGTCCTCTTCCGCGTAACATCATCCTCTTCCACCGCGAAAATATTGAGGTAAAACGAGTGTCCCACGTCTGTCTGGAAAAACACCTGCACTTCCTTCCCAGCCTTCTTCATTGCCTCACAGTACTCCATCTCCGTATCCCTTATCAAATCCTTCTCCGCCACTACCACCATCATCGGCGGCAACTTTAACCCTTCCATTGGCGGCGCCAGCTTACCCATCGGACACGTATACGGATGTTCTTTCCCCGCCCCTTCGGGCAGCGCTAACGCTAAAAACTTGTTGAGCATATCGAGCGTTAAGAACGGTGTCTCCCATTCCAATTTCATCTCCGATGGGCTCGGCGTGGAGCGCACGAAGCCCGGGTGGATGGCTATGCCGCCGGCTACTTTAATCGGTGACCAAAACCCGGGCTCTTTTTCTTCGGCTCGCCCAACCATCACGGAGAGCTCATGGACGATGTTGGCTCCGGAGGAGTCGCCGATTAGGAAGACGCGGGTTAAGTGTGCAAGCGAGGTGAGGGGGGGTGTGGCATCGCGGAGACGGAGGAGGGCTTGGAAAGCGACGTGATAGGCGGCCGGGAGGCGTTGTTCGGGAGCAAGGGGAAGCTGGACGGAGACAACAATGGCAGGGAGAGATCGAGCAATGTTTGCGTAGAAATGGTGGTACATTAGCCAGGAGAAATGGGAGATACAGAAGCCGCCACCGTGGAAGTGGAGAAGGATGGGTGCGTTGGGAAGGAGATGGGAAGGGAGGTAGAAGCGGAGGGTGGGGTTGCCAGGGAGGTCGATGAGGGAGAGGCCGTCGATGGGGTCAGAGTGGGGTGGGACGGAAGACATTAGTTGGAGAGCTTCGGGTGCACCGGTCCATGTCCGGTCGACGGAGCCGTCGTCGAATACGCGGAGCCAGCCGGAGATTTCATCGACCAAATGCTTGTTTGCCGGTGAAGATACCATATTGGCAGAAATTCCTATGATGAGTAGAGGAGGGTGAGATGGCAGAGGTTGAAGGCGACCAAGTTTAAATAACAGCGGGAAAGGGGAGAAATGCCATACGCAACCGCGTCTTAAATTGCGAGCAATTTCTTAAAAACATTCTAAAAGGAAAAAGACTTCTAGAAATGAAATGTGAAAATAGAGAATATTTTTTGTGAGGTTAATTGTAATTCTAAAAAATGACATACATGATAATTTTATAAATATTCAAATTTTGAGTGTTATTTATGTAATTCTTCGCATAAAATTTTAAGTAGATCTATTTTTGGGTTTTAGTTATAGAGTCGACATCTTTGGAAGAAAACGTTACAAATGTCTTGCAAGGTTGCATTGCATGTGCCTGCTTTCTTGTCATGTGAAGTTATTCTGATTATATCTTATTAATAATTAAGCATTTTGCAAATCTTTTATTAAACAAAGTGCCTATAAGATTTTGTAAAGAGAAAAGTGCCACAATGGGTTGCGTGTCTATAAAAATAGCAATTTATCCATATGCTCTTTTAGTATG